CCTATATAAGGGGCTAATTGAACACTTTAAGTCAGTTCAAGGGCCTATTTGACCCTTTAGCCTACATAAAATTAAGCATAGGCATTTGTTTTTGGGAAAATTACTATTGTAACCTTGCATTTTCAAAATTCAATTGGTTACCTCCTGAGTTTTGGTCATTCTCACTATATGTCCCTTCATGTTAATATTTGTTAAATTAAATTAAATATAACTCTTAAATTCAATGTAAGTTGTCTATAAATTAATTTCTAAAGTATAACATAATTTATTATCATAATTATAAGTCATTGTTGTTGATCGTTATTTTTCTACTTAGTTACTCGATTGTGGAATAACTATTAATGTGAGTAGTTAAGGAGAAGATTCACGAGTAATATTCATGGGATACATCAAAGAAAATTATTTAAAAAAAATGTGTTTTCAAAATTATAGGCACTTATTCATCATGAATATAAAAGTATTTGAAATTCATCTGGTTGAATTATTCTCAATGACATTTCTTTCATGTGTAGCAATGAAAAAATATCAAGAAAATGGAATTTCATCATTTCATCACCTAAAAGATAGGTCAAACATCAATAAGCGACCTAAAATATAGAATGTATCGGTATATGAGCTAAATAATTGAAAGCTATTAGCCTAAGACCTAAAATAACATGGATTTTGATTTATTTAAATGTTTTATTTACTCTGTTACTAATTTGTGATGATTCTATCTTCACAATTTTCTTATTTCCATTAATTTTATAAGATTGAATGATATTTCATTTTCTAAAATAGAAGTATCGAAATTCATGATATTTTATATCTTACGTAGTACTTGTGAGTATTTTCCCTTAACTAATCTCAATAATATTTATTCCACGTTGAAGTAGCTAAGTAGAAAAATAATGATCAACAATAATGAATTATAAATATGATAATAATTTGTGTTTTAATTTAAAAATTAATTTCATAAACAATTTTCATTGAATATAAGAGTTATATTAAATTTGATTTAACAAATATATATTAACGTGAGGGGCAAAGAATGAGAATGATCTAAATTCAGGGGTAACTAATTGATTTTTGAAAATACAAGGTTGCCTTCATAATTATGACATAACCTTAATGGGCTAATAGTAATTATCCCTTTGTTTTTTATTACAAACGTTCATACTTTCATACTATATCAGACATAGAACAGTCGAATGACTCGAATTAGTACAATTTTCTAAATCAAATACTCCGTATTATACGAATAAAAATATAATGCTTTTCATAGAATTGAATTCCATCGGATATTTGAATTAATTCGATTTGTTTCAAGGTGGTGGATATAATTTGGATCGGATTTCATGTCTTGTGGTTGTGGGCAATTCTAACATTTTAGGCAGTACATACATGACCCAAATAAGATTGATTAATTAATTAATTATTTTGATGATTCGATATCGTTACTCAATTAAAGCAAATATATTTTAATAGTGAAAGAAGGAATCATTTGAACTTATGATGTTTTCTTTTGGACTGTTTTCAATCTCAGATCAGATCAGATTAGACTTCCGCAGTTATAAAATACACAGAGACCAGATCAGACTTTGACCAACAAATTTTAGTTCAAAAGAAAACATCTTTTCAACAACATGTTCTTTTCATATTTTTAAGCGGAATCTCTTCAATAAAATACATCCTTTCAAGCGGAATCTCTTCAATAAAAACCAAGAATCTTTTCATATTTTTAATAAATGAAGTTATGAACGATATGTTCTTAAAGGAAAGAATAAATCCCGAGTCCTGACCATAGAAGAGTATCTTTTCCCCGTGGGAAGCATCTAAAGTCACGTGGTAACCAGGGCCGGTCCTAAGAGCATCTCCAATGCAAGTGTGTGGTCTCTTACACACCCTTACACATGGGTCCCACTTTTTATCTCACAAATTTTATGTGTAGGACCCACATATTTCCCAATTTATTTTCATTTTCATTTTTTTATATCACTTTTAACCCACTTTTCATCAACTTTTCCTCCTCGAATCCCGTGTAAGGTCCATATATGGACATTGTCATAGACCTTGGTCCATTTTTACCTCTATCTCTCTCCTTTTTTTCATTTTTCCCTACACACCACTTCATCCCAATATTTATTCTATCCCTATCTCTCTCCTATGCCACATCAGATGCAATGCACCCTCCCATTGGAGATGCTCTAAGGGGTGCAACAGGGACGACCGCCCTAGGCCCGAAAAAATAGAGAGGGAAAATAGGCACAAATTTTTTTATTTATATATAGTGTGAGTAGACTTCTTTTTTAATTTAAGCTCAAGTAATTAAGCCTAAGGTTTAATTTTGTTGGAAATTTAAAATTTTTAAAACAAAGGTTAAAAGGCATGTGACACGCCTCTTTGAGTAGTTAAGTCTCTTCACATCTCTAAGCTTTATAATTCTTTTAATTACAAAATTACCAAAATATTTATTGGCTCTAACTCTTTGTACAACCCATGTGTCTCCCAAACTCCCGATTCATAAACCACCCCATCCCACTAACCTAATTAATTTCCTGAACGGTGGTTTTCAAGTTCCAATTAAACTCAATTATCTGATGAACTAAAGGACTAAGGTTTAATAAGGTCTTGGTCGCCTTGCACAAGAGTAGACATTAGAGAGCGCTGCAAGCCTGCAAATCGCCATTAGCCAAGGCGGTTACCGGTGAGGAGCCCAAACAGCAGCCAGCGACTAGAACACCTTTTTCTGTCAAGGCTTCAAACAATCCGACAACGCCGAGTAAATTATTCCCAATCTATTAGCTATGAATACTAATTCCACTAAATGTTCTTTTGATTTATGAAATTATGATTAATGATTTCTATATGATGCATTTTTAGTGTCTTAGTAAATTCATATTTGTTTGGTATTGTGCAATTTTGAATTGAATTCCTTTATTCCGTTTTACTATTGGGAAGGTGTTTGAAAAAATGGGTGAATCTGGTTGGGAAAAAGAGAAAAAGAGACAAAGATTAGAAAACGCAGCCTTAAGTAAGACGGGGGCAATGGAAAATTTTGTTTATGTTAAGAAATTGAATCTCGAAAATTCTTCTCAAGTTGAATCGCCGCTAAATTCTTTTGTAGTGATATAGGTGCAGAAGCCGCAAATAGTGAAATTGAGTCAGGTAATTGTGATTTAAGTGAAGAGAATAACTTTTTGTGGGTCCTGTTTCGTTGATCGATTTTTAGAGATTAGTTTTTGTCTTGAACATAGGCCCAAATAACATCTCGCTCATAGGCCCAAAAATCGACAGGACCAGCCCTGGTGGTAACACCTTCATTTCCCCCAAATTTATGAGGAGAATATAATCAAATTTGTCATACGTATTATTGTTATTATTATTATTATCATCATTATCATTATCATTATCATCATCATCAATTATTATCTGGAAGGATCAATTCACACTAGGGGTGGAGACGTACCCCAAGAAAAAATTTGTAATGTATATACACATGTATAAAAATTTATAGGGTCCCAAATGAAAATTTATAGGAAAAGACATCAACGTTGGCATCCAATGAGGACAAGGTCCCAATCACATGTGGGATTTTGATAATTGGTTTTAGGGGAAGGGATCTATCTTGTACTTCGGGTTGAGCTCTATTTTATCATTTTTTCTTTCATTTTTTATTTGTTTTTGTTTTCCTGCCTCATCTTTTCTTAGCTTTGTTCTTCCCTTGTACTTCCTCTTTATTTATCATTAATAAACTTTCTTTTGTGCTAAAAAAATATTTATAGGGAGTTAAAAATGTAGTTGAAATTTAAACTTTGACGAACACAACATAATGGTAGTTTCTTAATCAATTTGAGTGAAAAAACAAGAGCTGCGCGTCGCCTCCGTGAAAAATGCTACGTAATTTAGCTAGTTACTATAGAATTTAATTAAATTGTAATGGTAAGATCACGTGTTTAAATATCTCTAGGGTTCTTTGTTGGTCTTATGATTAGGCAACTTAAGTCGGTAAATAATGTACTAGTATAGTTCATATAAACAAATTTACACAATTACACCCATATGTGATTATTTGCTTATGAATCTATGATGACATGAACTTTCATCCTAAACGTTTAAATTTAGATGATATAGTTCAAGATCTTAATTATATAGTACATACGTACTATACTCAGTTTAATACTACGTAACTCATATTTATAACATTTATGTTATGAAAACACATACTCCCTCCGTTTCTAAAAGAAAGTCACGGTTTGACTTCACGATTATTAAGGAAATAAATTGACTTTACTGTAGAAAACACTGTTTAGACACTGTTTGGCACTGTTTGGACACTGTTTGGCACTGTTTGGCACTGTTTGGATGTAGATTTCTTTGCCAAATAAGGAAATAAGGGAAGTGTGACTTTTATTTTGGCACATCCAAAAAAGGAAAGTGTGAGGTTCTTTTAGAAACGGAGGGAGTATTATATAGGATAAATATGAAAATAATGGCCGACAACAACTCTTTTAGCTGGGTTATTCATTGCTTTAATTCATGTCAATCTTTTTCCATGAAAACATCATGCTTTCCACTCCATTTAATTAATGGGTCAATGTTATATATTTTTGGGTCATTTATGTTTGGTGTGTGACAGTGTGAGAGGGCCGGGCATACGTGATAATAATAGCTAGGGTAAAGAAAATGAGTGAGATATATATGGTGCGTTTTTTAAAAATATTGACATTTTGCATTGCCTAGTAAAAAAATGTGTCAAACATATTTGGCAACAGTTCTTGTTTGTTACTATTGAATGCGTAATGAGATGCTCAAAAAATTCATTTGAATGACTGCGGATTAAAGTTTTAAAAATAACACTACGCAGTTAAAATCGCAGTTATCTTCAAGAATTCATTTGAATGCCTTCCCGATTGAAGTTTTAGCTGAAATTTGGTATGAGTCAACTAGACTTAATGAATGAGATGCTCAAAAAAATTCATAAATTAATTCCACCGGGAACCGCCCTAAATGATGACGGCCGGACAATAAGAACTTATTTAATCTTTTTATACAATTTGGATAATTGGATGAACAATCTAACCCTTTACACGCTATATATTATTGAAGGGCTGACCGAAATACCGCACTTTTGTGTTAGGTTCGAATCTTGAGTGTTACGATCCTCTTCGCTACACCTCAAGTCAAAAGTATTCAGTCGAATATTTGCAAGGCCCCACCACCGTCCTGAAGATTCCCAGTCTTCTCAATTTGGTAGCATTCTTTCTTCCTTATATCAAAAGCATTTCTCTATGCTCCATAATCCACTCCCACTTTCACCTTTTGTGATTGATCTTTCAACAAAAAGTTTTTGGAGGCTTAAATTGAAATCAAAGCATTAAAATTCAGAGAGACAGTAAAAGTAGTAAGAGTCGAAAGCAAAAACAAAGAAATAAAACATAGTCTGATCGAAAGCAACAGTAATAAGAACAATAGTAAAATAAAAATTCTTCTCCAAGACCATAAGCACCTCCACCGAGCCCCTCCTAGGGCATCTCGGGCATCCCACGCAGCTTGGCGGACCTACATGAGGTCCGCCTCTTCTCCGTTTTTGATCATCCAGAGCCATGTCTTCCTTTGTACTCGCGCCTTGTTGCGCTACTTCCCAGGTTCTTCTACGCTTTGTTTCCACCGATGTCTCCTCTGGACTGACCGAGTTTCCTTATTTTACACAAATCTAGTAACTGTACTTGTATTTTCCTTCCCATCTTGTTTATCAGTGTCCTGCTCATCAGATAATCCCACCCCTGTGCTGGAGGACCCTTCCACCAACAATTTTGTACTTCCTGTCGGACTGGTCTTCACCCCCGAGGCCCCGACCCAGCTCTAAGTGCAACCCCATAATTTTTATCAAAAGTTATATTCTCCCCCTCATAAACTACTGGACAGAACTTATCTGAATGCCCAATAATGCCACAAACAAAACAAAGTTTGGGAGTTTTTCATATTTAAAATCCACCCATTGGCAGAATCCCACCTATTTCAACGTAGTACCTTTTTTCAAAGGTCTCCTAACATCCATGCGAACTCTAATCCTCAAAAAAGGCTTAAACTTTTCATCAGCTTTCTTGTCATCAAAACTAAGAAAAGTTCCAATATAATTACCAATACGCCTAGCAGAACCCAGATTCATAAAACCATAAGCAGCATTGTGCACTTGCACCAAAAAATCAGCCTCATACAAATTAATTTGTAAAGGAATATCTTCTGTCTGAATCTCTTTTAGCAACAACAGATTACGTTCAAATAACCACGGTCCTTCATCCAGAACACGTCTCATATCTAATTTATGGTAGAAAGTAAAGATATACCTTTTGTCGCTGATTTCCTGGATTGAAACCCCTTTCACAGGTGTCCACAACGATGCCATCAATTCTTTGAAATACTGAGATTTAATCTTACGATCAGTAAGAATGATGCCAATAACTGGGAATTCAGCCTTACCCTTACTCGACTCATCCCCTTCCTCTTCTTCGTCGAAAAACACCTCTTCCTTATCATCCCCAATAGCCATTTGTTTGTATTGGTGAAGCACGTCTTCCATGAATCTATGTAATCTTACTGCTTCGAGCCTGTCCTCTGCCGTCTCTGTCAACCTTCTTCTCGCGAACACTACCCCCTTCGATCTTCACCTGAGTCGACTGTCGCCCCTGAGCCGCCTTCAATCGACGTGCGATGTTCTCCAAACACCACCACGAAGAATCGCCCTCGAATCCCCACTCGAATCGAACCAAAACAAGAAGAACCGCACCTCGGAAGCCACCAAGAGCGGAGATCGAAACCCTAGCGGCAGAGCCCTAGGGAGAGAAAAACTTTTAGCATAAAATTGTTTATTCTCTTTCAACAAAAGTTTTGAAGTGGAAATTTAGCCGATCTTTTTAGTGTGACTTGGGTTTAATTTAAAGTGGGTTTTTGAGAATTGAGAATAATCTAATAAATCAAAATCATTTAGTGTTAATAATTATTGAACTGAATTTGAAAAGGTAATATTCATTCTACGGGAGTAAATAATACATTTTCCGTCCTTTGTCATCTTTTTCTGTCGTTTAAAAAATTTTGTCACTTTTTTCGTCCTTTGTCATTTTATGATAGTTCAAGAACCATTTATGCATTTTATCTATTATTCTTTGCAAAGAAAAAACTGATTGAATTAAAAAATAATATTGTAATACTTTAAAAACATGTCATATATGAAATCTAATATGGAGCAATAAAAAAAAACATATAATATTGTATTTGCACTTTTTACACATTTAGAATTATATATATCGAATAAAGTAAAAGTCGGGATCAATCTTCTGTGATTCATTTTGGACAATAATTATTTTCTTCGCATATCACTATAAAATATCACGTAATAATTGAATTTGGCTCCTCTCCGATGACTGGAATTTTCTAGTAAGAGAGATATAGTGGGAGAGATGAGGAAATGGTGGGGTAGAGAAAAATAAAAGGTAGGATGTAATTATTTATTTTTAAAAGGGAGATAGACTGATAGAGTGAAAAAGAAATAGATAAAAGGGAATAGAGCGAAATATGACTCAAAAGATTCGCCTATTCACGCCTAAGCTTCACAGGTTTGAAACTTGGCTTGCACGCATTATCATGCCTCACACCTTTTAAAACATTGAAATGAAGATTTAACCTGCACGGGTAGTTCAGTTGGCCGAGTAGTATGAAAGTTGAAGGAATAATCAATTATCAAAACCCATAGCGGCGATGTGATAGTTACAGCTCATGTGTGCTGAGTTAACCCTCTGATACGCACGAATATGAGATCTACCATCGTTGGCTGACTGAATTACTATTATTTACAGCTTGCATATGTCATATTCAATCGAGGCATGGATGCCTTGGGATTTGACAATTCAACCTTTTGAGGACTTGAATTGGAGAACGGGTGAAGGCTCAAATTGGACACTATGGTTTTATGAGAATCTCATATTGGACACTAAGGTTTCAAATGGACCAAATTGGACACTATGATTACATATGTATCTCATATTGGACACTGAATTTTCATAATTCATAATTTTTGGACACTCACTTATGATTCTCGATCTTTGTCCTTTAATAAAAATTGTTAATCTTTTATTTACTTTACTTTTTGATGAAAATAAACTAATTTAATTACGTATACAATTTTGGAACATTTAATTTGAAGTTTTAGAATATATATTTTGATTTTAATTAATAACTTCATATATTAACAATTTAAAAATATATTTAAATAATTACCAATTTAAATCAGCCATCGGTGGGGTAAATGCCGGAAAACATTTACCAAATTTTATTACAATAATGCAGTAACTAATAAATTAAAATTAAAATTAAAAACTACCAATTATTTTCGCTCAAATGATCAAATCTGCTGAATCTTTTGAAAGAATAATACTACGTACTATCGGGAAGCGTATACCATACAGCCGGCTCAGCCGGCTGGCACCGTACAGCCGGTGGCAGTTTTGTAATTTTCATGAAGTTCGTGGTTTCTCATAAATGAGCATTGATGTGATTTTGATGAGCATCGAGTCTGTTCTTCTGAGTATTAAAAGTCTAACAATGAGCACCAGTGATCTCTGCTTCATATTTTCTAATTCGGTTTCTTTTTATGATTTTTTCATTTATAAAAATTAAAAATCATAAATTATGTTTATAATTAATTTCAATATGTGAATCTAATGTAGTATGATATGTTTGATATGTGCATCATTTTAAAATGAGCATAAAACAGTACCAAATGAGCATACATAATTTATAAAATGAGTATAAAAAAAATTCAAAACTTTATTTGTGTATGCTCATTGATTTTGGGCGTATATTTGATATGTGCATCATTTTAAAATGAGCATAAAACAATACCAAATGAGCCATTATTTACAAAATGAGTATCAAAATATTAAAAACTCATTTTTGTGTGTTCATTCATTTTGGGCATAATACTCATTTGAATTTAACTTAAAACTCATTTTGAAATATGCATGAATATGACATTTTAAAAAGAGTATTGTACTAATATCAAATGAGTATACATAAATTACGAAATGAGCGTTCAAAAAACTCATTTGAGTATGCTCATTCATTTTGGGTGTTATACTCATTTCAATTTTACATGAAACTCATTTTCAATGTGTTCAATATTAGTTTGTGTGAGTTCATTTCTTTTAGGCGTATACTCATTTCTTTTAGGCTCATTTAAAATCACCGTCATGCTCAAACTTTTATTTGCGTATGCTCATATCTTTAGAATTACGTACAACCTAGATTATCCCTGACCCAAAAACCACCAAACTAAAATAATCAGTGTGAGAAAAATAGAAAAAGTAAAAGAAAGGAACAGAACGTGCGAAGTTAAGGACGAAACTGAAGGAGAGCTGCTGAAGGGTTGCGGTTGTCGAAAAAGGGAGAGGTGCTAGTAGGCGACGAGCAACGGAGCAAGGATGATCGGCCATGGAAGCCTACGATGGAAGCCCTGCGATGACGGAAGCCTGCGATGGAAGCCCTGCGATGACGGAAGTCTGCGATGGAAGCCTGCAATTCGCGAACTAAAAGTCCAGTTGTACCATGCGCACGGTACTCGGGCCAGGCCAACCGGCCCGGACCGGCCCGGTCAACCGGTTCGTGCCCGGTTCGGGCCCCCCGGCCCGGTGGTAAAGCGGTCCGGGCCCGGGCCTCCAGTTTAGTGAACCAGCCGGGCCGGGCCGGGCCGGGCCCGGTTCGGGCCGGAATTTAATTTTTTTTTTTTTGGAAATTTTTTTAAGTTTTGGGTTGGATTAGGTATTTTGGGCCATTTGAGATGGTTTGGGGTGGTTTGGGGTGGAGAGGGAGGGGTAGGGGGTTAAATAAGAGAAGAAGAAAAAAAAAATTAAAAATCCGGGTGGCCCGGCCCGGCCCGGTCTGGCCCGGACCCGGAACCGCCCACCAACGGTTCGGGCTTGGGCCTCATTTTTCTGAACCGAGGCCCGGCCGGGCCCGAACCGGAACTGGTCCACCCCTATACATGATACGTAGTAATATTCATTTCAACTGTAGTATGTAAACGAAATGCTTCTCAACATGCTAATGAGCGAAATAAATTGATGCTACCAAATAGGGCTTAAATACAAGTTGATCTCGTATAATCTGGAGCATGATTAGTTTAGTGGCAGCGAGATTAGTTCTTCCAAGTTTTACAAGCTTAACCACAATCGTTATATACAACTCTGCATGTAAACATTTCTATTTTTTTTAGCAAGTAGGATTTCATCCAATTTGCATGTAAACATTTCTAAATGTGTTGGGAGGTCAAGCAACAAACAATGAGGACGGGTAGCAGTGGCTCAGCTGAAGAATCCATTAAAGCAGTTTTGCAACATGAGCTCAAACACCAGAAGCCGATTACAGGAGGCACCATACTCGCATGCACCCAGGAGTCATTACCACTGCAACTGATCGCCCACATTTACTTATAGTAGTAGCTAAATAAGATCATAGCATATCACTTCAAGAGCCTTTGTGGTAAAAGGATATTAGCGACCGAATCTGCTGAATTTCATGAAAGAATAGCATTTCATAATGCATACATTTCGGCCAACTAGTAAGCTACCTGTGCATTGCACGGGATGCAATTTGTAGACATTGTAAATATGAATATATAAAGCATTTACGAATTTGTACATAGGAAAATTAATCATGAAAAATGCATATAGTAGCACTGGTTCAATCTTTTCAATTCTAATTATCATTTTATTTTATTTTATTTTATTTTTTAATTTTTTTTATTTTTTACTCCAAGGGGGGGTCTAGGGGAGGGGGTCTGGGGGGCCTGGAGTAATCAGGGCTGAAACTCACTCCATTGAGTTTCAAATCCTTATGCGCCTAGCGGGTTTCGAACTCGAGACCTCTCACTAGGCACAGTAACCTCACAACCAGTTGGGCTAGGATGTTTGGTTTCTAATTATCATTTTATAGTAGCACTAGTTCAATATATTCAATTCTAATTATCATTTTATAATAGCACTGGTTTACATATTGAAAAGAAAATAACACATTTGTTCCCAACTGAATTCAAAGTCTTGGGTACAGCTACTTTAGTAGGTTTCAGTATCAATATAAATATCAAATCAAACCAGGTGCAGCTACTTTAGTAGGTTTCAGTATAAAGATAAATATCAAATCAAACCAAAACAACCATGAGTCTTACATAGAGACATACTTATATCAGCCCAGCAGCACATAGGGGCTTAATAAGAGCCGAGTCCAATGTCTCATTTTAACAACGGCTCCCAGTTTTGGGAGAGCAAGTCCATTGGTGCATTGGGCTGCACGGTGTTACACTTTGGTGCATTTTGTTAAGAACTGAAGAAGAAGAAAATCATTTCATGTTAATCACAAGTTCAAATTTACTTTTTCAAAAGGATGTGGTAACTGTAACTGTAACAAAAAATTGCTCTCCATATTGAATAGACTTGCAACTTCTATCATGATAGGGAGATGCATTAAGCTTTTAGGTGATGTAGATTGGTATATATGTCTTAATATAAAAGTAAGGAAATTTTAACTTAGACACACGGAACTAATTTTCATTGTGTGCTAGAATGCAGCAAATTGTTAATACAAAAATGTTTGAACAGAAAGCCTGCGAAAAAATATGTCTTGTAAAACAAAAAATGCAATGACTTGGATTTAGGAGAAGAGAAACATACAAAAGATGCAATGAAAAAGACTCTAGATCATTCAAAACATAAGGAATCAGTCTTATTGGGACAGAATCATCAAGAAAAAGAGAGTTTTGGTTCATCTACCATCTTATGAGTTGTGTTCATATCCTTAATAGTTCAACGACTATCTTTTTAACCTGCACATGAGACTATCTTTTCTTTATAACTTTTTAAGTTGCATTGCTGTGAAGGAAATACAAAATGTATGTCGATGAAAGAAAATTTTTGTGGATATTAACATTATATCAGCTTACTTCCTTACCTCATTTTTTATAACCTATTATCTTAACAGTTTATCCACAAAATCAGGTTAGTTTACCTAACCTACATTTTTTATAACCTTTTATATTATGTTTATTTTTGCCAATGAAGTTGTCTTCCACCGCTTTGAGAACAATATGATTTGCCGCAGTTGCATTTCAATTACGATAAATGCATGGATGTTAAACAATATGGTTTGCCGTAGTTGGATTTCAATTACAATTTCGTTCATGACATAAAATTTTAAAATCTTCTCTTAGATTTATCTCAAGCGATATATATACATACCAGCTGTTTACTCATTTGATGCACGGACTTTCTTCAAAGATCTTTAAGACTGCAAAGCAATGCTTGATCAACTGGAGGTGCTTGATGTATTGATCCACCAATAGCATCTTCATTATAGGAGGACAGTATGTTATCCCCAAATGTACTATACACCTTGTTTCCATAATCTTAGAGCATCTCCTCACTACCATAATAGAAAAAGGTTTAATTGAAAATTAGATCAGCGTAGACCATATGCAGGTTATAGAGCACTTGAAGGTTTAATTAAACACTTGGAAAAGTCCAACCCTGCTGTAAAAGAAGAAACATGCCTTATGATCAAACACGAAACAAATTGATACTTGAGATCTTGAACCCCTGGCAGTTCTTGGGTGATACCAAGGTTCAAAATTGAAGAATGAAATATAGGCTAACCGTTCAAAAACATGATTTTTTTAATTCTAGATGATACAGTCTGAAAATTATTTTTTGCGATGTTTAAGTTGAAGTGAAGTCTTTCAAGTCGACCATTCCTAGTTTGAGATGTTTGTATTCCCATTATATGCATATTTGTAAGGAAGTAAGCTGAATGTCAATCATATCATCATCAACAGATCCTCTTAAGTTATTATACTTCTGAAAGTAAATACGTACATGAGAACATTGATTATAATCTTCTGCTAGAAGGCAAAAAGATGAAACCTTTGACCAGAAAAATTACTCCGTAATAAAAATAAAAAGTAAGATACAAATACATCTCTAATCAATTTCAAACTTTCTAAGTTGTGTTATCTTTGTAAATAAATCTACTCTGTATCTAGTAAAAAAAATGCATTTTTCAATATATCGTGTGAGAGGAGTAGAAGTTTAGAACAGAGGGAGATGCAAATGAAGAGAGGAGAAGTGAAATTAATAGAGATGGATATATCGAAATACCGGTGGAGGGGAGACGGAGATCCTCCCTCATGAAAAAAACAAAGAACAATGGGACCTTTATGCCATAATCAATTTTTTTACTTTAAGTTACTTCAACATTTTAGATTTTTGAATTATATACTTGAAATATGTTTGAACATGTAAACCAAGAAATTTTTAAAAGTTTAACAATATAAAAAAAAACAAAGACAAACACTCTTAAAAGAACCTACTCTCTAAGAAGTAAAAAATTTAAAATATTTGAGTGTGTATTATAATTTTCAAGAGTTTCTGCTTCTAAAATTAGAAGTAGTTGTTCACCATCAATCTTTCTTCCTTCATGTGAGGATAAGAACATCAAATTGTTGTGCATTTTTTAGTAGTCAGGATTTAAACCCAAAGTAAAAATACAATCTGTTGATAAGTAAATCTAAGAAGTGAAATTGAAGAACAAAAATGACTGAATCCCCTGCTCAAAGACAAAAAAGATTAATCCTTTCATTCCTTTGAGTAGAAATAATCAATAAAAAATGAAAAAATAGGATACAAACACATTTATAATCATTAATAATCTTCTATATGTGTGAACCTATACTGCCAAATCAAGGGAAAATGGTTCTTCCTGAACAAACTACCATATCGAACAAATCCACAACCAAATCAATAGAAAATGATTCTTCCTAAATTTGAGACACGATTCGCATAAATTGGGGTAAGCAGCCACCATATTACCTGAAAGCATCTAGCGCAAATAGCTAAGGAACCCAAACATGAGCAGGTTTGGTTTTGACAGAACCATTCATCGAATATTCGAAGTATCATAACCCTAAGGCTTCATCTTAATGATGAAGATGAAGGAAAAACATGATTTCCGCAATATCAATCAAAACTCATAATGTAATGAATTTGTTTTATAACTATAACAAATCCGAACTCTGAAAGATGAACATGAACCTGATTTAGAGCCGAAAAGAGTAAAAATATATAAAAAAAATTAAGGGGAAGATTACCTGATTCAGTACATAAATTGACGGTAAAGAACAAGGCGGTGGCAAAGTGAGAAAGGCAAAGGTGATTGGGAGGCAAAGGAACCGCTGCTCCGGTGCTCCTATCGTTGGCTAAGTGAACGGAAGCATATCTGACGTATTTGAAGGAAAATGAATCAATAAAAGGTAAGGGTGTATGATGAAATGTAGAGGCTGTTGAATGAGGGCTGGGCGGGAGTTTTTGGTTTTGGAATTGTAGTGCTATTAAGAAGAGGATTATGCTGCCATAACTGGCTGCTAAACGTAACCTAAACCTCTGCACACTTGTATGGTGATGTAGCCTTTTTCCCAGACACAAATTTACCCTGGAGTGGCGAGAATCCAAACCATTCACATGTCATCATCACTAGAACCAAAAAGCTTCTCATCAGATCCATACCAATTCGCAATGGGTTGAACTCCTTCGCAATCACCTGATTGGTTGCCTCCTCCTGATTCCAAGCATTCTTTTAGATCATCTAGAACAAAGGGCTCAACAAGTTTCCAGAACCATCCAGACTTATCTCCAATAAAACCTATCCAAAACACACCTCCCTTCTTCTTCACTCTGCAATCTAAAGATTTTGCCTTGAATGTCTTCACAATATTTTCAACACCGTCTTTGTTTCCTTTCAATCTCAACAGAATATCACCTGATGATGTTCTATACCCTGAGTACATGTACCAATAAGCAAGAACTCGAGGCGATAGCCATCTGTGGATTAGTTTGGGAATAGTAGGAATACCATTTTTCCAGAACTGGTTGGCATAAAAACCAAAATAAGAATGTGAAATGGTAGCAAACACCCATGGAACATTATCTTCATCATCAGCCAGTGTATCTAGACAAGCTAACCACTCACGATACTTATCATACACATGCCTCCTTAAAACAGAATGGTGTTTCAAGTTTTTGTTAAACTGGAAATGGATTAAATGTTTCTTATTCTCCACATCTGATTTGATTTGCAAACCACCCAACAACAACCCCACCATAACCTCTCGTTGTTCTATATTGAGTTTCTGCCTTATTGGTTCTTTGACATCCACCTGGCGCAAACTTAGAACAAAACTCAGCTTTTCTATCAAGGAAGGATCAGTATCATATTTCTTCAGGCGCATTAACTGGTACACCTTTTCTGCTTTGATATGATCCCCATGAGAGAGATAACATCTCAATATGCTATTACAGCACCGAGCATTTACACCAATAGAAGAGTTCTCAACCATCTGGTTGAATAATTCTCCAGCCTTTTCAATATCCCCATTCTGAACCAATGATTCCAGGTAGATGCTGAAGACTGTCCGATTTGAGCGGCATTTTTCAAGACAATGAAAGAAAGTGGACTCCAGCTTCTCATGTCGTCTAGAAAAAGAGTACATCTGCATGAGATGTACAAATGAAGGCTGGAGTGGGCACATGCCACTGTCAACGAACTCTTGAAAGACTGATTCTGCCAGTTCTATCTCTTGAGCTTTTGACAATATCTCTATGATTCTATGAAATGCTATGGCAGGAGTGGAACTCAACTTCTCTTGCATTCCCCTAAATATCTCCAACGCTTTCATATGCTCTCCAATCTTTGCATAAGTCAACATTTTAAACACAAAGGCTTGTGGTGAAGGATTATGATTATCAGAGGAAAGAAGCTTCGCCCAAGTCCTTTCAGCTTCTGCCACATCTCCATCCTTTGAGCAAGCTCTCATAACTGACAAAAGTACATCCGTGCCCTCTTCGATGCCTCTCAAACACATCTCTTCTCTCAGTGAAGCAATTCTATCTTTGTCGATTGAATCTTGAAAACTATGGAGCCATATAAGGCCACTGTAGATATCCTTGTGTATATGAAGCCCAAAGGAAGTCAAGTTTTGATAAACGAACTCTGCTTGTTTAAGAGTTTCTGCAAAAGAGCCCCCTGCTTTTCCTATTAGAGCTTTGAACAGGGAATTGTGCAGGCTAAGGAGAGGCTTATAACCTCCCAATTGGATCATGCGGCTGTAAATTCCAAATGCTTCTTCAACCACTGATTGACCAGATGAACTGAGATAAGCAACAATTAAAATATGGAAAGTTGACGCGGCAGGCACTCGTCCTTGATTAAGTATGTCATCATAAACCTCGCGGCATTTCAAGTGTTTACGCTCCTTACCCAAATAATCTGCTAGCCTTGTAGTTAGGCTGAAATCAAATTGATACCAATGTTGCATCATCGTCCATTTGTATACCTGAAATATGGAGCACAGTAAATATTTCAACCATCTTGTTGGTTTGACCATATACTTCATCTTCTTTTGGCATTATATCTCTCATAAATATAATTAAAAGCATTTATCCATATATCCAAATCCAACCCCATGAATGATATTTTGGACAAGAATAAGGAATTCAACAAAATAATACACATGATAGATGATACGGGAACCCATAAAAGTTAAAATTTAAAACACATAAAAATCCTTACATGGTGACGCTGATCAGCCATGTAGATAACTAGCTATCTCTATTAATTCATCTCATTCATTCCTTCAAAGGTAACTACAACAACAGCATCCAAGCCTTAGTCCCAAAAGATTTAGGGGTCGGTCATTCCTTCAAAGGTAACTAAATACACATAATAAAAGTGCAAAGGATTTGCCCTAATTGCCTGACCCAGAAATACCTTTATCAAGTTACTAGCTCTTGCTTTTAAAGGTAACTTCAAATGTAAAATGGAAGAGTTACTTAACTTCTCTTTGGAGATTTGTCTATTGCAGTTATGTGTAGAACTTAAGTATTAGCAACAAAACATATTTGATCTTATCTATGTAGTTGTGAAGTTGTTTTAATACTTTTAATTTGCATTGGTGCATGAACAACATAATGACACTTCGATCATCTCCAAAACTAAGGATGTTTTTAATTGGACTGGTTTAAGTCTCAATCAAACTAGATCAAACCAGATTTAAACAGAATAAACTAGACCATACCAAATCATATCAAACCAGACTTAAACAGTTGTAAAATACACATAGAACATATAGCTACAAGAATAGATCAGAATCATATCAAACTTAAAAAGACTAGACCATATCAGACCACAACAAAAAATTCTTATTCAATTACAAACATCCCACGTCTTCAAAAACATTAGGGTAATAAATATTAGCATTTGAAACAACTGAACTCTTCCAAGCAACCATAAAAAGAAGAAGACTCGATACAGTAGATGCCACCATAATGTTGATAAGGTTAGTTCTTACTCTGAAAGCAGTCTCATTTTCACGAATTCTCAGACAATGAAGCACGATATAAGTAGCATCTTCTTGTCTGAGCCACTTCCTCTGAGCATTGAGAATCCGAACCAAAGTGTTTTGCTTTTGTGCAGGAAGCTCCTTGCACAGCCAAGCCAGTCTTGACCGAGGCCACTTTTCCGGAACGTCATCAAGCTTCTGGACACCAAAATCAGGCGAGTCATCTCGCTTCAATTCGGTAGAGTCAAAGGAGCTATGAAAATGGAAACTTTCCCTCTGATTGCTACTGCTGGACATCTCATCTTCATGGTTGAAGGACTCCTCTGACTCGTAAACTAACTGTTCGAAGAAAGTACTGGCCGAAATAGGATATGAGAGGCGCGTAGAGGAGTATAGAGGGCGACGGGGGTGGAATCGAAGAGTATGAGACGTTGCTGAGGAGCTCCGGAGAAGAGATGCCGTGGAAAAGAGGCTGAGAAGGTCCCAACGGCCGCTGCGACGACGGGTATTATGGAAAACGGAGAAGGAGAAAGTGTTGAGGAAATGGGATGCAGCGCGCATGGAAGATTTTGATGATCTATCTTGATGAAAATAACAGGAAGAATAGACACAGAAGGTAAGCGGCGTTCCTGTATGGCTGCTCAGGAACATTTGCTCGGCGATGAATGAATGACCTGTGACGGTGGGAAACCGGCCAAAGGAGAAAAGTGCGTCCCGGATCACCCGTCGACCCGATTAGTGAACTGGTTTATCGTCCGTTATTTTCCAAATCGGGCTGAGCCAATGATAGGATTATAATTGAAATGGAAACGGTACAAATATAAGGAGTGTTTGGGGTTGATTAAAAAAAGCGCTTTTCAGCTTATGACTTAAAAAAAGTTGAAAAGAGTGTTTTCAAATGATAGCTTCTGCTTAAATTAATCACTTAAAAGCTAAAAGCTGGAAGCAGGTAGAAGGGTGCTTTAAACTGCTTCTCACTTTTTTTATTACACAAAAAATACTTATTTTATCAAACACTACCAACTTTTACTTTTTTAGAATCACTTTTTTCTCAAACACTACCAACTTTTACTATTAATCACTTTTCTCAAAATCACTTTAAAAAATCACTTTTTTAAAGTTGAAGCAATCGAAACACTCTCATAGTATGATTGTAACAAATTGTAAAAACAAATACTACCTACATACTCCTGTTATTGTCTCATTGTAGTTTACGATGCTTGATTGATGATAAAGCAAATAGATCTCTATCCGCGCTCAAATTATTTTCAGAAAAAAAAATACATATTCAGAAACTACATTAAAATCTTTACAAAATCGAAAAAATCAGAGCCAAATTTGATAAAAATTTGATACATAAAGTAAGATATTAAGAATCATTTATGTTAACCAAGTGAATAGGAAATGAAACAATAACAGGGGGCCGAGGGAGTATATCATTGTAAAAATGTATCCCTGAAGTTCGTGTAAAAATGTATATACTCCTTGAACTTTTAAAAAGTGCAAAAGTATCTTTCATGTTCCTATAAATGAATAAATTTATACTTATTGATTTTAAATGGATTAAATAAATTTCTAAGAACACCCAAAATAAATTTTAAATTTGAACTTGAAAAAAAAATCTAATTGTGTCCACTTCTCCTTTTTATTATTTTTAAATCACAATTTAGTATTGTTGGTATAAAAAAATATCTCAAAACTTTAGTATATATTTAAGAATCTTTTGAACAAGATTTAACATATGTGTTGCATTAATTTTCTGTATTTTTTGAACTATAAAATTACATATTTTGTATGATGGTAAACACTCCAAATTAAAAAATAGTGAAATTATTTTTATTAAGATTAAACAAAATCAAAGATTGTTGTTTCAAAAAATGTAATAATGTGTGCAAAATTTTGCAATAAGACTGCAATTAATATATATGCATTTGAAGTGTTTCATTTATAACGGAATAATAATTATTTTGCAATTTAAAATTAAAGAGTCAATTTTGTAACATAAAAATAAATCTTTAATTTTTAACTCCTTAATTTTTTTATTTTTCAATTTCTAATTTCTACTTTATTGTTAGTGTTTTTTTAAGAAATTATTTATTTAAGGTCAATTAGGATACATTTGCTCCTTTCCAGAAATATGAGGGGTATTTTTGTGCCTTTTATAAGTTCAGGGGTATGTATTCACTTGTACATAAACTTCGGAGGCATATTTATTCCAAAAAATAGAACATAGATATATTTGTTCTCTCACACACACACACTATAGAACTATATTTAAAACAAAATGGAATATTCTATATGCAGCCACCTATTCTATATAGTTAGGTCTGGTTTTTTAAACATCTGGTTTCCGTGTATTTTTAAACACTGTTTCCAATAACACAAAAACTCATCGTGAATTTCTCTTTTGATGCTCACTTATATCATAAGTTGTTTGACAATGTTTCCAGAGAAATACCCCTGAAAATATGCATATTACAATGTTTCCAAGAAAATCACAAAAACAAATATGGTGTATGGTTTATCACGTACCTTTTCAGGAAGCACCAAAGTACCGGAAATTGTCCAGAAACCTAAGAACAATAAAATGCTAAAATAGAATTATTGAAGGATTAGAATTGAAATTACAATGCTAAAACGGTAAAATAAAGAATCTAGAGAACATCAACTCCAAGAACATCGAACATCTTCTCGGAGAAAGCACCAAAACAGAGAATAGAGAGGGGGGGGGGGGAGCAGTACACACCACTTCAGATCGACCAGAAGGTAATGTCGCCGGACGCCGTTCAGGAAGCAAAAACACCGGAAATTGTCCAGAAACCTAAGAAGAATACAATGCTAAAACAGAATTATTGAAGGATTAGAATTAAAATTACAATGCTAAAACAGTAAAATGAAGTATCCAGAGAATATCAACTTCAAGAACATCGAACATCTTCTCAGAGAAAGCACAAAAACATAGAAATAGAGAGAGTAGGAGAAGAGGGAGCGGTACGTACCACTTCAGATCGACCAGGTAATGTCGCTGATCAAAAAGAGACTCGAAAAGTGAACGAGAGAATGCAGCTGCTATAATGTTAAGAAAACAATAAATCGATCACGAAGAATGAGTTCACAATATAAATGTTTGCATCTTCTCTTTCTCTTTATCACGTACCTTTTCAGGAAGCACAAAGACACCGGAAATTGTCCAGAAATCTAAGAAGAATACAATGCTAAAACAGGATTATTGAAAGATTAGAATTAAAATTACAATGCTAAAATAGTAAAATGAAGTATCCAGAGAACATCAACTTCAAGAACATCGAACATCTTCTCGGAGAAAGCACAAAAACAAAGAAATAGAGAAAGAGTAGGAGAAGAGGGAGCAGTACATACCACTTCAGATCGACTGGGTAATTATGTCGCATGTTGAAAGAATAGAGAAAGCAATCTGAATTTAGTTTATTCGTGCTGTAAAATACAAGGAGAGGTTTACAGAATATATAGCTAGAGAAGTAGAACAAATAAGGAAGGAATCCTCCTAATGAAGGTTTCTTGAGAATAAGGGATATTCAGAGATTCTAAGATCTCTAAGATATCTCCCCATTAATACACAATCGGGTGAATATTTAGAATAATCTACACCCCCCCCCTCAAGCTGGGTGATGGATATCATCCATGCACAACTTGCTAGATAAGTCTTCAAGCTGAATTCTTGGAAGTGCCTTGGCAAGCATATAAGCTATTTGCTGCCTGGTTGGAACATAGCTCAACTGGATGTCCTTTGCTGCAATCTTCTCTGATAAGAATCGTCTATCTATCTCAATATGCTTGGTCCTGTCATGATGGACAAGATTTTTAGCAATATTGATACTAGATTGGTTATCACATGAAATCTGGATGGAGCCTTCAAATGGAAGTTTGAGCTCATTTATCAGCCTTCTTAACCATAATCCTTCACAGATTCTTTGTGCTAAAGCTCTGAGTTCACACTTTGCACATCTTCTAGAGACCACTGGTTGTTTTTTGCTCCTCAAGGTGACTATGTTACCCCATACATAAGTACAGTAACTAGTAGTTGACCTTCTGTCTAAAAGGCTTCTAGCCTAGTCAGCATCTCTGTAAACACTTCAATCTTCCTTGTCTGTTTTTTAAACAACAATCCTTTTCTGGAGTCATTTTCAAATACCTCAGAATTCTATAGACTGCAGTTAGGTGTTCCTTAATTGGGTCATTCATGAATTGACTAACCACACTAACTAAGAAAGAAATGTTTGGGCATGTGTGAGATAGGTAAATTAGTTTCCCTACCAGCCTTTGATATCTACCCTTATCAACTGGTGGACTGTCATTCTCACTGCCCAACTTCTTTGATATATTCATAGGAGCGTCCATAGGCTTGCACCCAAACATTCCAGTTTCACGTAGCAAATCTAAGACATGTTTCCTTTGTGAAATGAAAATGCCTCTCTTAGATCTTGCCACTTCCATGCCTAAGAAGTACTTCAACTCGCCCAGCTCCTTGATCTCAAACTCATTTGCCAGATGATCCTTCAATCTGTCCAATTCAACCTTATAATCCTTGGTCATAATAATATCATCAACTTAGACTATAAGAATAACCTTTCACCAAAGTCTGACCTCTTTACAAATAGAGTGTGGTCTGCTTGACATTGCATGAAACCTTGTTTAAGAACTCATATTGTAAATCTATCAAACCATGCTCTAGGAGACTGTTTTAATCCGTACAAGGACTTCCTCAGTCTGCAAACCTGGCCAGATTTCACCAAGTCTTCCAACCCTTGTGGTACATCCATGAAAACTCCCTCTTCAAGATCTCCATTAAGGAAGGCATTTTTAACATCAAGTTGATGTAATGGCCAGTCTAAGTTCACTCCAAGTGATATCAACACTCTAATGGTGTTCAACTTTGTCACTGGTGCAAATGTCACTGAATAATCAATGCCATAAGCTTGGGTGAACCCCTTAGCAACCAGCATTGCCTTCAGCCTTTCAATCTTTCCATCAGCCTGATACTGTAAATACCCATTTGCAACCAACAGTTTTCTTCCCCGCTGGCAAATTTGCAAGCACCCAAGTTCCATTCTTCTTCAATGTTGCTAATTCATCATAAACAACCTTCCTCCCCTCGGGATGTTCAAAGGCTTCCTTGATGTTGCTAGGAACCTGAATACTATCAATCTTTGAAATAAAAGCTTGAAGTTTGATGATCGTCTCTTATAACAAACAAAGTTATAGATAGGGTGTTTTCTGATAGCAATAGGCAAGTCTTGTTCCTCCTCATCTCCTTCTATAGCCTTAACCTCTTCTTCATTCGGACTCAGATTTGAGTCAGATGATTGGATGGTGTTAATTGGAGTTTTGCTCTCTTCTTTTGGAACTTTGGTTCTAGGTTTTCTCTTGTAGGTATTCTTGTAGAACGGGGAATTTGGATTTAGTGTAGGGCTTTGAGGTGATGGTGGCTGAAATGGTGAGGTTGAGGGGAAGGTTGTATTTTCTGGAGGTAAGGATTCAGGTCTTTCTGAACGTATGAGTTCGGTGTGGATTAAGTTTGATTCTCGGAGGTCTGAAATAGTGTTTAAAATAGGATTCAAAGTCTGGATTTCACTGTGATTATTCTCCCCCTAAAATTCAGCTTCGGGATAGAAATGCTGATTTTCAAAAAAAGGTTGCATCCATTGTGATGTAGACCTTTTTGGTAGTAGGTGAATAACATTTATATCGTTTCTGGTTGGCAGCATATCCTATGAACAGACAAGGTAAGGA